AAATATATGAAAAATTGATGTGGGTACTCAAATGAAAGGTCTTGACGTGAATAACATTAGGATGAGCTTATATCTCTAAAAATGTCAATAGTTCACAAGATACAAGATCATTTCTTAATTATGTATCTAAAGATAGAGAATTTTCAAATGCAGCCTAAATACTTATCATAATAAATTGACTATCAGTGAGAATGATATGAAATCTTGAAATTCTTATTCTCTTAATAATATAGACAATGATAATGATAATGATATTAATATCATAACCGTACTAGTAATTATAATAACAGTATCAAAGGATCCTCACCGTCACGAATAGCTTTGAGCAAATCATTACGTGGATCAACAATCGGAATATTGGGGTTTTGTGGTTTCCTTAGTTGTCCATCAACTATGCTCTTCAGTGGCTTTAATTTCGGTGGATTATTGGCAATTATCTTAGCAATATCACCGTTGCTAATAGGTACGCATGATATGGGTCCATTAAGCACAGGAGGTGGTGGTGGTGGAGGAGGTGGCGGTGGAATGTTGCAAGGCGGCGATATCGGCCTTGATGGCGCTGGATCTGGAGTAGGTGGAGGCGGAGGTAGATCCTGAGGCGCAGGATCCGGCTCATCGATCCCAGCAGGTAGAGTGTGATTCGGTGGAGTCGGTGTCGATTGATGGCTCGGTAATGGACTGTTCGAACGGCTACCGTTCCTATTAAGCAGGTGCGCCGGTATCGTGCCGTTTATAGGCGGTGGCGACATTACTTCACCAGGAGGCGGCGGTGGAGGTGGCAAAGTATCTCTTCCTGTGCTCATAGACCTTCCACGAGTCGGGGTGTTATTAGCTGACGCCACTGTGGGCGTTGAATTGCTCGAAGCGTTGCTTGGTGGCGCCGGCGGCGGCTGAGATGGTCGCGATCTTCCACCGCGACTTGGTGTACCCGGTCCAGGACTTTGGTAAGCCTCGCTGCCAGGTTGCCCTTGTCCAGGCGCATAGTGCGAGCTGTATAAACTTCCATCGTCGTAACCTTGGGTCATGTAATTTGCCGCTCTGCAATTAAAATAATTTATTAATATTTATCTTTTAAGAAAATTAATTAATTTAGCAGATATTTAATAATTTTTAGAATTTTTGTTAACAAATAAATTATGGCAAAAAAAATAAAAAAAAAAAATTGACATGTAGAAAATTTAAAAAAATAAAAATTGCAATTTTTTTTAAATAATTTTTTAGAATTAATTTAATTGTTAAATAAAATTAAAAAATTTGTCAAGTGATAGCTAATTTTAATGTCATCAATTTATGAAAATTAATTTAGCAGATATTTAATAATTTTTAGCACTTTTCTTAACAAATAAATTATGGTAAAAAAAAATTAAAAAAAAAAATTGACATGTAAAAATTTAAAAAAATAAAAAATGCAATTTTTTAGAATTAATTTAATTGTTAAATAAAATTTAAAATTTGTCAAGTGACAGCTAACTTTAATGTAATATTTAATTTTAATTTTTAATAAAATAAAATTTTTTATTTAAGTACCTGTAATGATCCGTAGTAGGAGGACTGTACAAATGCTGTTCATCTGGAGGATAACTTCGCCTAAGCTCAATACTATTTGGTCTCGGAGGTCGTGGCTCGGTCATCACCATCCCCAGAAGCGATTCGTCTGGAATATTATGAGGTGTCCTGTATTGCACACCCTGAGTTGGCATGATGTACTCTCCATGTCCAACTGCAAGCTGTCGTTGTCTCTCTCGTGTATTATGCGGTTGTCTTACACGTTTCTTGTGTCTTCCTCCTCCACCAGAATTACCACCGTCATTCCGAGGTCTATGAGGCTGTGGGATTAAAAATACTATTAGTAATAGCTCTGATAATTACTATGGGATAATTAATGACTGATAGTTAAAAGTGCATGTCAAAGAAAACATAGGCAAGCCAAAATTTCCAACTTGTGATTTAATGGTTTTATATAAACGATGATCACACTCAATGATTTTTATGATTGATGGTAAAGATTTATTGAAAAAATAACTCCTGCATTTAAATAAAAAAATTAGCCAGTTGATCAATTTTTATTGAGTCAACTACTAGATGGGTAATGTATATTTATGTACATAAAGTTTTTTATAAAAATGATAATATGCATGGTGGCTACAAATTTTACAAAATTACATTTTTGGATTTTATTAAATTTTTTTTTTTTTAATATAATGTAACCATCATGAATATATTAAGTAGACTATTTCCTAGCGGAACTACATATACAAGTTTAAAGCGAGCAGCTAGAATCAAACAACTCTAACAGCGCAAATAAGTTAGTTAATAAAAAATCCACACAAGGTTGTGAGCTCGATATTATGTTCGTGAACAGTGATTCAACAATTAACAGTAAATCGATGACTTAAAAATTTAATACTGGGAAAAAAATATTTATATTATATTAACCAATAATTAATAATCAAAATAATAAATATAGTAAAAGTAAAACTACAAAGATCCAAACCATCGACTTGCCTCTCTGAACGGTTCGGCATATTCTGACTCGGTCTATAACCAAGGGGATATTTTCGACGGTTAATCATCACATATTTTTGTTCATTAAAAAAAAAAAAACCTAATTGTATTGTGTATTTTTAATTTATTAATACTTGATAATAAGCAGTAATTTAAAATCCGAATATAGTGACAGAATTTCAGATTTTTATTATAAATACACAGACAATTTTTTAATTATTAATTCAAATATTACTGCTTATTATCTATTAAATAAAATTTAAGAGTAATAAAAAGCAATATTACCTTCTTCCCTCTATCATGTAATTTCTTCTCAGTGTCTTTAAGCATTTCTTGACTCCACAAGTCAAAGAAGTAATTTGGATCAGTATAAAATTTCAATCCATCCTTACCGTCCTCTCTGAAAAACGATAAAAAAATTAGTAAATACAAACAAAATAAAACAATTTATAAAAATTTGATATTTTAAATTTAATAATTATTTACAAATAGGGTCAAATCTATTTTTGGCTTTAAAAAATAGATCAATTGATGGATCATCATAATTTTTTTAACTTCTTTGTTTTTACGGCGGATTTATAGTGGTGATTTGCAAAATATCAAAAAATTAATATTTTTATTGAAAAAATCATTTTTGGAAGTTGGAAAAAATTTCTCATTTTTTTGGATAAAATTTCTATTTTATTTTTTTTTTATGTTCTTGATATATTTTTTCTAAGTACATAAAAAACAAATAATTAAAAAAAAATTTATTAAAATTATGATCAACTTTTTTTTTTAATTATTCATTTTTTTATGTACTTAAAAAAAATATATCAAAAAAAAATAAAATGAAAATTTTATCCAAAAATATGAACTAAATTTTTTTCCAACTTTCAAAGATAATTTTTTAATTGAAATATTAATTTTTCGATAATGAAAAAAAAAAATGAAAATTAAAATAATTGACCCCACTTGTAAATATTAATCCTTAAATTTAATAATTCAACTCTATACATTCGAGTAAAAAAAAAATAAATAATAATAAAGCTCGATTGGTAATTGGTAGTTAAAATAAAACTGGTCTTCTTCCTGAAGTTAAATCATATATTTACCTGTAAACATTGAGTTTATCTAATGGTGGAGGAGTATCACATGCTTGATAAGTCTCACGCATCGCCGTGGGCATAGTATCACGTGAAACGACTTGCTGATCGAATACAACCGAGCTCTTGAATGCCTTTCTCATATGAATGTCTTGAAGTGAAACTGAAAAACAGAACAAACTAAATTATTACACATTCTAAATAAGATCTCTAGCTCCTGAAAGTACACATGTGTAATACCAAGAAGCGATAGAATAACTACCGAGTAATAAAATCTATATTTAGATTACTACTAAAGTCGAGTGTGTAATATCACATATTCCTGGAAAACTAACCTTCCTCAACATTGCTGTCCAGCTGGGTAACTTTAACCGCGAGTCTGTCTATTCTTGCTTGCAGAGAGTTGGCTCGATCACTTAATGTATGAGCTTCACGTGCCAGCTCCCCGAACAGGTCCTCGGCGTGTCGCGATAAACTTGACAGCTGTCTAATAGTGTTGGCTAGGGTCCCATTCGTCGCGGCCTCCAGCTCCGATGGCAAGGGAAAAGCTTCTGGGATCGTGCCGCGGGCAACGTGAACAGGCTCCACCAGCCTCTTCGGGAGCGGCATCTTCCAGCTTCAAGCTCTCTGGATTTATTTATCAAGTCCACTCACCGCAGTCTGGTTACCTAAAAAAAAAAAAAAAAAAAAAAAAAGTATTTTAGTTTTAATATTTATCATTTCTTCTTATATCCTTATCATAACATAACACTAACATTAATATTAAAAGACTAAGCTATTATTAAAGTCCCTCTGTATTTTCAAATAAAAAAAAACAGAGATCGGAATCCGGAAACAGTTGATTGAAATGCATAACACTGTTCCGTATCCTAGAATAATTCCAACACAGTTAATCTTTTTCAGTCTTCTGAGAAGACTATTCATTGAAGACAACTGCTCCAGGAAGGCCAGGAAGGAGGCATGAGTGTACCGTTTGCTTGGAGGTATAATACCACTCGAGTATTATATAGTTGAATTATATTGCTCTTCCAGACGATTGATCTTCGACCTATCTGATCTACGTATACGGGCGTCTATTAAAGGTCAAATGTTTAAAGGATTGGGCATCCACTTACAGACTCAACACCTCACGTTTTATATTTATATATTATCTTACTCAAAAGGAAAATAATACTAAAGTTAGCTGACACTTTTCATTTATTAAATTAGAACTAAAAAATATTTTTTAAAAATTCCACTTAGTTTTTTAATTTTTTTACAATTGAAAATGTTTTTTTTTTTTTATAATTTTCTTAATAAAAAAAAATTATAAACATTTTTACATGTTAGCTAAAATTTCTAAAATTTTTTTTCAACAATTATATAACAATAAAAATTGTTAGATGTGTCAAAAAGTTATTGTTGTAATTATTTAAAAATGTTTTCTTAGGAGTAATTTATTTTATATAAAAGTCACAAAAATAACAGATGCCAGCTAACCAGTTTTTTAAATTTATCTTCCTGAAGTTAATTGACATCTGTCATTTTGGATTTTTATAACAATTAAATTTCTTTAAAAAAATTTTAATTAAAAAATCCCACATGTAGAAATTAGAAAAAAATTACAAGTGCAAACATATAAAAAAAAATAAATTAGTTTAATAAATAAATTTAAGTTTTGAAGTTTTAAATTATTTCTTGATGATTAAATTTAATAAGTTTATTAATAGAAGAAAAAGCGTGAACGCACGAGATATGTTTAACGATCACGTCGAAATTTCTCACTAATTTGCTCGTGATAAATCAGTAACACTCCTTCTATTATAAACCATAATAAAAGATAAATGATATAATATCTTACAGATTTATCGGCTATTTTTAAGATAATTATAAATAAGCGAGTTTAAAAAAAGTTATTTCAATAAAGAAAAAAATAACTTGACAACTATCGTGTAAGGAACTTTTTAATGCGATAACTTGAGAACGTTATTAATTGACCTGATTATTTTTTTATTAAATATATATTTCTCGCGACAAGAAGCCTATTGAAATTCACTATTACATCATCTGTTATTTAATTACAATTAAGAGAAGAATTTTAAAACGACAATGACACTTAAGTTTATCAATAATTACATCTTCAGTTCATTTAACAAAAAAATTATAAAATTAAAATTTGTTCCAAAAAATAATTTTTAAAAAATTGCAATTTTTATTTATTTAAATTTCTACAAGTCAATTTTTTTTGCCATAATTTATTTGTTAAAAAAAATTATTTAACAACTGGCTAAATTTATTTTCATAAAAAAATTTGTCCCAAAAAATTATTTTAAAATGCTACAAATTTTATAATTATTATTATTATTTTTCTTTTTTTTTTCTTTTTAATTTTAGCAATTAATATTATTTTTTGTTATGGTTTGCAATTGCTAACACATCAATGGTTTACTCATTTAACAATCTATCTATTAAATTTATAATTAATATTAATATTTATAATTAATATTGATAATATAGAATATTTATAATTAATGTTATTTTTTTTTTTTAATTAATTTTTTAATTAATAGTAATACTAATATTATTATTGTATTAAATATGAAATCACTATGCTAGCTATAAGTCATCTTGTTATAAATCAAAAATTTTTCTTGTTTTTATATACTAACTGTTGTATTATTAACCCTGTTAATGGCCCCTAGGCTGTTGGGTTTATTTATTTAAATAAAATAAAATAAAAAAATTGCATTTTTTATTCTTAAAAATTTTCAAATGAAAATTTTTTTTGCCATGATTTATTTGTTATAGAATTTTAAAAATGATTAAATATATGCTAAATAAATTTTCATAAAATTTTTATTAATTATTTAATAAAATACTTCTTAATAGTATAAAGAAGGAATTCCAACTGTTCTAGAGTTTCCAGCAATGTGGGCTACGTAATATAATCCTTTTAAATAATTCAACGTCGGCAAATCTATAAAACCATCTCTGCTCTGATTTACTGGGTGTTTTACAGCTCGCAAGCGTTATATGCACATACATTATAAAAATAAGATAAAAACACTCTATAAATAGAAAAACTAAGCGAAGAATATAAAATAAAAAATAGAGGTCATGACAAATGGTTTCTAAAACAGCAACTAAACGACAAATGACGTCACTTGATGGTAGTTTACCTCTCTTACGTTCCAGCCTCGGTATAAGTAATCCCATCGGCCTCAATTAATGCGTGTCCCGGTTTGTGTTATCGAGAGGCGTTTTTGCAGGCCTACTAATAAGTATCTACACATAATACTTCGTCTATATCCCGATATCCCGATACTTGGTGAAGTTTCTTAGCAAGTATATAATACATTACTATCTACTAATGTAATGTAATGTAATAAATCCAACGGGATAGTCAGGTCTGCAAACTCGCTGGTAATGAGTAGAAGTGAATTCATGGTATTATAACGTGGGAACGAATTTTAAAAATGATAAGCCTTATAAAACCGCGAGCGTGACTCTATCCGGCGACTCACACTTTAGCTCTATCATAACTTTAGTTATTGTTATAAGTTATAAGTTAAAACAACTGCGGTAGTAGATAAAAAATAATTATAATTAGTATTAGGGGCTCGGTCTAATTAGCATTCTCATTGCCAGTCGGCGACAACACGAATAACTCGTGAAGGTAAACAGCGCATTGCACCTGCACTCCAAGCGTGAAAGCGGTAATGTTTTTTTTTTTTTGTTATTTTTGTTTACACTCTTGTAATATATATAAATAAAAAATAAAATCGCGGCTCAGGTTAACAAAGCGGCGACACGGACATTTGCATTGAAATGGTAAATCAAAAGCAACCTCTTGTATTTATATTAAGGTAAAAATTTATTTCATATCTGAGTACTGTTTCTTTGGCCTGAGGACCATCCACCCTTTTTTCTCACCATCTGTTCTTATTATTATATTCCTGTGCAGAAAAACAAAACGAGGAATAGAATATGAAGAATAAGAATGAATGAGAAAAATGTTTTACTAGAGGAATTGCTATCAAGTTTAACTATCGTGTGCCCGCAAGGCCCCGGGATTCTCCCCTCTCATTTTACCCACGTTAAAGACATCATCCTGCTTATAAAGAGAGTGTTACTTGTAACTACTCCAATGCTCTCAATGAAACTCATTGCGTAGTGATTACTATCGGCATCACGCGAGTATCTTGCTAAATCTTATTGCTTAATAGATACAAAGTATTTTTAATACCAAAAAGGTGGATAAGTATTATTTGTACTATTACATTAAGATTCTTTTTATCTATTATATAAATATTCAATTTCGTTAATTAAAATTAGAAATTTGTCATATATTTTATACTTTCTAAATATTCTAACAGAAATTGTCGGATAGTTACAGAATATAAAAAAATTTTAATATCAATACATGTGTACTGAAAGAAAAAAAATAAAATTTACTTTGAACAAAATGAGCAATGTTGTAATAATAAATTAATTGAAAAAAAATTTTAATTGATTTAGAAATAAAAAAAAAATTTTAGATAGATGATTTGTGAATTTTCATTCAAAAATTTATTTTTATAAATCTATAAAATTTTTATTAACAAAAAAGTTACTGTAAGAAAAATTTTTATTTCTCTATTTAAGAAATTAAATTTTTTACTAAATTAATTTTTTGTCACAAAAATGCTCATTTTTTTTTAAAATAATTTTTTCATCTGATTTTCAGATGATAGTAATAATGTAGAAAATTAATTTACAAAAAAAATATTTTTTTTAAATATTAAAATTTTTAAGACAGTTTATACATTTACAATGTATAAAAATGAAAAATTTTTAGATATAAAACTTTAGCAACAAAAAAGTTACTGTGAGAAAAATCTCTATCTAAAAAAATAAAATTTTTGATCAAATTAATTTTTTTGTCACAAAAATGGCCATTTTTTTAAAAATATTTTTTTCTCTCAGTGTAAGTTAATATTTTTTCAAATTAGTAGATAATAATAATAAAGAAGACTAATTAAAAAAAAAAAAACATTTTCAAAAAATATTAAAACGTTTAAGACACTTTAAACATTTACAATGCATAAAAATGAAAACTTTTTAGATATAAAACTTTAGCAACAAAAAAGTTACTACTATAATTTTTTACTAAATTAATTTTTTGTCATAAAAATGCCCATTTTTTTCAAAATAATTTTTTTCTCTCAGTGTAAGAATAATTTTTTAATTTAATAGATGATAATAAGAAAAAAGAAGATTAATTTACAAAAAAAAAAAAAAAAACATTTTTTAAAAATATTAAAATGTATAAAAATAAAAATTTTTTTAAATTCGTAATCCATCAAGGACAATTCAATCTTGATAGAGTCAATATTAATATGTCTCCTATTTAACATTAGACAGATTTAGTTGTACATGCGTAGCTGGTGACTTTATAGAGTCCAGTGATAGCTGGACGCCTCAGAATAATTTATCAAAAGCCTCCCACGGATTTTAAAGCACCCCTTGGCTTACGGCTTACGCGAACTGCGCGTGAGTCAGACTAGTGTAGCGCTCACCGATCTACAATATATAAGGCCTGAAGCTCAAGTATGTATATAATATGATAGTGTATGGTATTGTACAGGTCC